TTTTAAAGTTCATTTTCATTTTTTTTTATTTTTTTTTGCTTGCTTTTTTAATTTATTTTTCCTATCATTTTTGAAATATATCGTTGCATTAATTTGCTTTATTCATTTATCTTTCTCACTTAAGTCGAATTGGAATTAAAATTTGTCAAGAAATCACTTTCACATTTTTATTTAATTTGATTTTTTAATTCTCAAAAAATAAATAAACAAATAAAATACTTGTATATTGTTTACATACTTTTACATGCAATATCTAATATGTTAACGATCATTTTCTTTTTAATTCCATACGTTTTTAGCGTTTGTGCTACCGTTGTAACAAGAAAATTGATAAATGATAAAATTATCATCCATTTTACGGCTAATTAAATTTGCTTTACAGCAACTATAATGATAATTAATGCTGAGGATGACGTCATTTATGACGTTAACAGCTACTGTTATTATTCGAAATATTGAATGGAAAAGCTAAACGATATTTATCATTGCATTATAACTGAAATACGTAACGTCTGATTTCTCTTCAATACATTTCTGCAGTACGTAAACGCAGCACGCAAATACTCAATATTACGCTGCATGCATGCATTCATAATGCCACGTGATCAATATGGACGTTTTAATACAAACGCAAATGCGTATATTTCGGAGCAAATTCGTAATGAAATTCAACGTTTCGAAAGTGTTCATCCATGCATCTATACGGTTTACGATTTGATCGAATTGATTCCGGATCAATTGCTCCAGAATCAGTTACGTGATCAGGTGGTTTGCATTGAAGGTTAGTTACTCATATCATTTTATCTTTTTTTTTTTTTTCTGCATGCTTTTTAAGAATTTTAACGAATCAGTAAAAACCTAAAATAAATAATCGGCAGAGAGATGAAAATGATGATTAGTAGATTTTAAAATTTAAGTAATAACGGTGTAGCAAATTAATTCTTTAGTGATATTAAATGTCGCTGAAAACGAGAAAAAACAACGGTTCTTTTTACACGACATTTCAAATGTCTAAAAATTCAATAATTGTTGGGTAAATTTTTATAGCTAAC